CAGTTTAGCCAGGGCCCACCCACCCAAGCGAGTTGACCTGCCTCCAGACCCAAATAGGAACGTCCAGTCCTCCTCCTCCGGTTTGTTTCCCATCTGAAAAGTTAAAGTGAAGTCGCTCAGTCATGTCTGACTCCTTAGCGACCCCATGGACTGTAGCCTACCAGGCTCCTCCATCCGTGGGATTTTCCAGGCAAGAGTGCTGGAGTGAGTTGCCATTTCCTTCTCCAGGGGATCTTCCCGACCCAGGTCTCCCGCATTGTAGGCAGATGCTTTTACCGTCTGAGCCATCCCATACGTGTCCCTAAGATACAGCCCTCGATATGGCTCCTTGAGGACTGGCCACCTTCTTGCTGGCTGCCTCCCCGAGCTGCAGCAGTTTCTGGCTTCGCAGGGCTCCCCCTTCCCCTCAGCCTGGTGACAGCACCGCCAGTCATGACTCCTGCAGTCCCGGCTGCAGCCTTCTCCAGCTCCATCTCAGCTCTCACGAGGAGGAGCTGGTGAGGGATCACCCAGGGCAAGAGCCAGAATTCACTTACTCTCCAAATCTTAATATACGGCTATGAAAACTTGCTTCTATTGGTCTATAATTTTCTAGTCACAATCTCAAGATCCAGAAAGCTCTGTAAAGCAAAAGCTGAGTATAATCCTTGGATGGAGGGATGCATGTCTTTAAGGGTAAGGCCCCAGCTACATATTGGTAAGAAAGTGGCCAAGTCTCCTAGTTCAATTCCAGGCTGTTTATAATGTCCTTCTCCAAACATGGTCAAACTCAATGGGCTGGACTCTAGGAATTAACTATACCTCCAGGGTACTTCTCTAGGGGTCCAGTGGGCAAGACTCTGTGCTCCCAATGCACAGGGCCCAGGTTCGATTCCTGGTCAGGGAACTAGACCTCACGTGCCTCAACTAAAGACCCCACACGCCCCAATGAAGATCAACGAGCCCTCGAGCCTCAAATAAGACCTGGTCAGCCAAATAGATGAATAAATATTTAAGAAAAATAATAAGTATACTTCCATTCAATGGTGAACTAGTAAATGTTTAACACATAGCTCTCAGGAAAAGAAAAAGTCCTGATATGTAGCATTTGCCAAGGTCCACAGCAACAGACTGACTTCAAGCTAGCAGCGGGCAGAGCTGTGCACACAGGTCCTCCTGCCCACTGTGTGGTCTCCTGAACCCATCCCATCATGCCACATCCTGCCTCTCTGAGACTACGTCTAGACGTCCTGGTGGGAGCTGTGGGCTGTTCCCAGACTTCTTAGCAGCACATTTACCAGGTGAGTCACTGCCCCTGAACATGAACTTTTTCAGTTAAGTGCTTGGGGAAAGGCCTCATTTTCAGTTCCTTAAAGAACACTTCATTTTTACCCCCAACCACCACCAACGAGGGGCTTCCAGATGGCACCAGTAGTAAAGAACCTGCCTGCCACAGCAGGTAAGAGATGTGGGTTCGATCCCCTGGAGGAGGGCATGGCAACCCACTCCAGTATTCTTGCCTGGAGAATCCCCATGGACAGAGGAGCCTGGTGGCCTACGGTCCATAGGGTCGCAGAGTTGGACATAACTGAAGTGACTTACAGGCACGTAGCACCACCAACTAACACGGCGGTCAGGTGCCCATTATAGCAACTAGGAATCTGATCGGCTCAAGAAACCAAAACTGAATTTTCTTTTCATAGTGTCTTAAGTCTGGAGTTTTGTGGGAAAAAAAAAAAAATCATAGAGTGAGGTATGGGGTCTGCAGTGGACGGAGAAACACCATGGAGAGCAACCAATATATTAGTATAGAAGAATCTTCTGGAGCACCCTCCTCCCCTCCCCCTGCGTCAATTCGCTGTCTTGACCAATATAAAGTGGCAGGGGAAAGGGAAAAAAAAATCTGTGTTGCTTACTTCTTACTAAGCATCTCCCCCAGGACAGGGGGAGATAGGTCAATACAACTCTGAATTAGGGCAACAACAACCCACGGAAACTCCATCTTGAGGATTTATAGGAAAACCGAAGCACACTTATAGTCACACTGGCTGGTGGGGGAGTCCCATTAGTCCCCAGCACTGGGCTATTTAAGATGAAATGTCTGGGATATGGATGTTGTTTTCTGGGAAGAATAATCTACTCTGAGGTCGTCAAAATCAATAGGGCACTTTGAAGGCTGGCTTGAGCCATTACTGGTAATGTTTTGGTTGTGTTTGCGAATCAACCATTCAACAGAAATAGGACCATTTAGCAGTTCCCACGGAGGGCCCTATCGGTCCCGCAGTGAAGCCCCTCCATTCACTGAAAGCACCAGCGTCTCCCAGGGGCTTGGGGAGCCTGAGGGAACCTGGCAGGCGAAACCAGAACAAAAGATGGAGACTGAAGCTTCCAGGGTGCCCCGTGCTCTGAGTTTGCCTGGGATTGAGGGGTTTCCTGGGACGCTGAACTTGTAATGCTAAAAGCAGGACGAGGAGAAGATGGGACAAATGGAGAGGGAAGCATAGAAACATGCACATGAAATAGACAGGGGGGACTTGCTGTATGTAAAATAGAGAGTCAGTGGAAATCTGCAGTATGACTCGGGAACTCAATCCAGTGCTGTGCGACGTCCTAGAGGAGTAGGATGGGGTGGGAGACGGAGGGAGGCTCAGGAGGGTGGGGACATGTGTATACCTGTGGCTGACTCAAGCTGAGGTATGACAGAAGCCAACACGATATTGTAAAGCAAGTATCCTCCAATTAAAAACAAATAAAAAACCCCACAATATTGTAAAGCAATTATCCTCTAATTTTTTTTAAAAAAAAAGGACAGTTCTGGTCAAACCAGGGCTGTTGGTCACCCTAAGCAGTAGTTCTCAACTGGAGCTGGTGTTGCCCCTCACATAGGATTCCCAGATAAAATCCAGGACTCTCTATTACATCTGGACTTCACATAAACAATGGATACTTTTGTAAAGACACATGTATCGCAGTGTTCACTGCAGCACTATTTACAATAGCCAGGACACAGAAGCAACTTAAAAGTCCATCGACAGATGAATGGATAAAGATGTGGTACATATATACAATGGAATACTACTCAGCCATTAAAAGGAAAGAGTGGGTCATTTTCAGTGATGTGGATGAACCCAGAGTCTGTCATACAGAGTGAAGAAAGTCAGAAAGAGAAAAACAATATCGTATATTAACACATGCATGTGGAATCCAGGAAAATGGTACTGATGAATCTATTTGCAGGGCAGGAATAGAGAACAGACCTGTGGACCCAGTGGGGGAAGGAGTGGGGACGATGAATTGAGTGACTAGCCTTGACATATATCCACTACCATGTGTAAAACAGATAGCTAGTGGGAGGCTGATGTGTCGCACGGGGAGCTCAGCTTGAACAGAGCTCTGTGATGTCCTAGAGGAGTGGGATGGGGTGAGTGGAGAGGAGGCTCAGAAGGGAGGGTTTTGATGCATATGTGTAGCTGATTCACTTCATTGTATAGCAGAAGGCAACACAACATTGTAAAGCAGCTACACTCCAATTTTTTAAAAATTTGACAATACCTTTTTAGTATAAGTATGTCCCAAATAGTAAAATAAAATGAGTCCTTGCTTGTTTGAAATTCACATATAACTAAGCATCCTTTTCGTTTCCTTCCTTCTTTTGTCCCTTCCTCCCTCCTTCCTTCCTTCCTTCTTTCCATCCTCTTTCCTAAAGCTGGCAAGCCTACTCATAGCGGACATGTCGCAACCACTGGAGATGTTTTTGGCTGTGATAAGCACAAGTTGTGGGCGGGGGAGGCGGGCACGGCCACCAGTATCAAGTAGTGAGAGGTGCTGCTAAACTTCCTACAGGGCAGGCGGCAGCTTCTGGATACAAGGAATTATCTGGCTCCAAGTGTGAAGAGTGCAGAAACCGAGAAAGGCAACCTCACTTCAGCTGAGCACCCACGTCTTCTTGGGAGAAGACTGGAGGAAGGATATAGGCGCCTCTGCTTCACACACACAGAAAAATGTAATAAAAGTTCCTGACTTTGAACACTTTCAGTCCGACAGTCACACAGCCATTGACGGTTACGAAGTGACCAGAAAAAAGGCTCTTCCCTTGCAAGGGACCCCCCCCCTTCCACAAGGAGAGCCAGGCAGGGTGCGCGGGACACAAGAGCGCCGATAAACGCTCTATCCGTGTGGTCTCCAGGACGCTTCCATCTCCCCGGACTTTTATGGTGACATTTCCTGGCACTCCTGAAGCTTGTTCTTGGCTTTGAAAACAAGGCTTCAGAATGTCTTCATTGTTTTACCTACACCGGTACTGGCAGCGCCTGGAGTTTTCCTGAAGGAAACTGTAGCAGCAGGAATTTTCTGTAACACTGTAATAAGTGGGCTTTATCCTTTCAAAAATACATCCTTTCTCCTTGTTGCCAGCTCTCCCACAGCCCTGTGAAAAATGTAGCTGAGGAGTTACTGAGGCGTTTTTATGTTCCTCCTGTCTCCCTGTAGTTCATAGCAAGCAACAGAAGGCAATTATTCTGGAGTTAGCACTTAGGCTCGCTGGCTTGAAGGAATGAATGAATGAACCAAAATGGCACCTCTGTGCTCATTTCCCTGTTGTGTGAGACGTGAAATGTAAACAGTGACATCTGCTCAAGAGGAACTGGTGAATCTGATCACCCCTGGGACCTCAAGTAAGTGGAATTACTGTTTCATGGGTACAGAACTTGGGGAAGATGAAGAGGTTCTGAAGATGGATGGTTGTATAACAGTATGGTTGTACTTAATGCCACAAAACAGTACGCTCCCGAGTGGTGAAAATGCTGAACTCTGCATTATATATGGTGGTGGTGGTGATTTAGTTGCTCAGTCATGCCCAGCTCTTTTGTGACCCCATGGACTGTAGCCTGTCAGGCTCCTCTGTCCATGAGATTTCCCAGGCAAGCATACTGGAGTGGGTTGCCATTCTCTTCTCTAGGGGATCTTCCTGACCCTGCTTCTCCTGCATTGCATGTGGATTCTTTACCGCTGAGTCATCCAGGATGCCCTCTGTTATGTACATCCAACAACAATTTTATAAAAGGAATTGTTGGTATGGTATTCAGCTAAGCATAGAGTAAGTCTTCAGTAATGTTTGCTGACTATTAACCTAAGGTTGATCTGGGTGTAAGCTAACTGCATGTTTTCTCCCAATAAGCTGGTCAGGTGCCTCGTCATCTGGCATCATTACCCTTAAAGGAAAGTGGACGTGGCCTGCTCTTCACTCCAGCTATCACATGAAGGTAAGTCTCTACCCTCTTGGAGGAGTGTGCTAAGTCAATTCAGTCATGTCCAACTCTTTGCAACCCTATGGGCTGTAGATCACCAGGCTTCTCTGTCCATGGGATTCTCCAAGGCAAGGATACGGGAGTGGGTTGCCACATCCTCCTCCAGGGGATCTTCCTAACCCAGGGATCAAAACTGCATCTCTTATGTCTCCCTTCATTGGCAGGTGGGTTCTTTACCACTAGCACCACCTGGGAAGCCCATTGGAGGAGTAGAAACCAAGTTTAAGGCCTTGACTCGACTCCAGGGGCAGACTAGATTGGACTAGAAGGAATCCCAGTGGCCTCGCCAGTGATCTGCTTTGGGCTGGTGAGTGATATATTCTGGACCAGTGATACCCAAGGAGAAGGTGGCTGCAAGTTCTGTGAAAGTTCTTAGAGGAGGCCAGGTGGCCCCTGACAGCCACCTCCAGAACAGAGGGGGGTCCAAGCATAGGATGGGGCTGATTTGTAGGGGGCAGAGAGCAAAGGCACATAGAGTCTCGGCCCGCTCCTCCCTCACACGTACTGCTGTCTCCACGCCTCAAGCCACCCACCTCTGACTTCCAGTCTGTATGCTGGGGAGGTTTCTTGTTTTTTGTAGCCAATTGGAGCTGGCTTTTCTGTCACCTGCAGCTGGAAGCAGGGCTGATCCCCGTGAAGCTAAATAAACGCAAGCTTTATATCGCTCTGCTTACATGGGCCCTGCCAACATCCCCAGAGGGCCCAAGAAAGCATCCCCATGCTTTTGTAAAATTTGCAAAGGTGAGATATTTTAAGAAAGAAAGTGTAAGAAAGTGTTAGTTGCTCAGTCATGTCTGACTCTTTGCAACCCCGTGGACTGTAGCCCACCAGACTCCCCTGGCCATGGGGATTCTCCAAGCAAGAACACTGGAGTGGATTGCTATGCCTTCCTCCTCCAGGGGATCTTCCCAACTCAGGGATCGAACCCAGGTATCCCACATTGTAGGCAGATTCTTTACCAACTGAGCCACCAGGGAAGTCCTTTTATATTTTAACTGCAATGCTTTAGACCACTGCCTCTCTGCCTGGATATCTCTGTGTCATGTTGCTCGGGGGGTGTTGGTGCTATTGAGGCAGCCTGAGGAGTTCAAGGATCTGAGAAGGGGGGATGGAAGGCCTTGGTTCAGGGTTACTTTGTGGTTTAGCCAAGAATTCCCTTACCTTCCCCAGAGCTGACTCACCTGATTTAACACCTTGCAACCCTCTATGTGCACCTATGTGAAGCTGAGCCTACAGCCAAGGGCGCAGGAACCATGGGGTCTTCTGGATGCACCTTTATGTCCTGGCTCTGCGCTCTGTGTTTGGGGCCACAGATACATCCGTCTTCTCATCCATAAAATGGAACTCACTTCACAGAACCATGGTAACGATAAACTCATGCAAAGACCTTGGCACAAACTAAGTGCTCACATAGTGAAAGACATTAAGGTACTGGATCTGGCCCTTAAAAGGATGACTCAGTGTATTCAAAGCCTCACTCCATGGATTACAGAGTCAAAGTCTTTCTCAAATACCCTAGTGTCTTCTGGTTTTTTCCAGGTATCAGTTAAGGAGAGGCCAGAAGATAAATGGTTGAGGCGTGTGGGTGAAGTGTGACCAGAGGGGACGGTGTGGCCTGTGACAAAGCAGTGATGGGAGGCCCTCCAGGGAGCAGCCATCTCTGCGCCAGCCAAGTGTTGCCAGGCAGTGGGGGTTGCGGGACGCCAGTATTTTTAAGAAAAGCCAGAAAATCTGATTGTTTTCCCCTGAAACTCTCCAGATTTTTTTAACTCTTCAAGTAATTTTTTAAAAAAGTTAAACCCTGTCCAGCCCAAACAAAATAGGAGTCAGGGCTGAATCTGGCACAGCTCCCAGTTGCTGCACTTGCTTTGAAGTCTGGAGGTCAGTCTGTGAGTTCCAAACGCCAAGGCCACCTGGCCTCTGTCCCTGCATGTCTCCATCCAGCCTCTTGACCCTCGAAAGGCAGGGAAGAATACTTTTACATGTGGACAGCTGAAGATTCGATCTGAAAACCATCAAAAGGAAGAAATGGACATTTCTGCAACTCCCTCCCCCTCGTGCAGACATTCTGTTTCCTTGGAGGACGAAAGTCAACCTGCTTCAGCTGAATTCATTTCAACCAAATTTCCTAAATACTGCAAGCCAACCACTAAGCTAGGCCTTGGGTATGTCTTTTTTTTTTTTTTGCATGCCTACTGTGTGCTTGACATGGAGTTAGAAGTTTTAACTACTTCGTCTCACAACAACCTTGTGAGGTAGAAAGGACTGTTGCAGCCAAAATCTTGGCTGTCTCTGCCCACCGAAGTTGAATAAAAAAATACAGAGACAGGATTTGGAGGAAAATAGAAAGGTGGTTTTAACCCTCAGCTGGTGGAAGGGGAGAACACAGTACTCTCATGCCTCAAGGGGCTTCCCAGCTGGCACTAGTGGTAAAGAACCCATCTGCCAATGCAGGAAACGTGCGAGACACGGGTTCAATCCCTGGGTCGGAAAGATCCCCTGCAGGAGGGCATGGTAACCCATTCTGGTCTTCTTGCCTCAAGAACTGTGACCCCGCCCCTCTTTCATGAGGAATCTGGTGGATTATATAGATGAGGGCTCACAGTCAGGGGTCGGTGATGAGGAACAAAAGTCTAAGGATCTTGTATTCTTTTTCCTCTTCAGTTCAGTTCAGTTACTCAGTTGTATTTGACTCTTTGTGACCCCATGGACTGCAGCACGCCAGGCTTCCCTGTTCATCCATCCCGGAGCTTGCTCAAACTCATGTCCATCGAGTCAGTGATGCCATCCAACCATCTCATCGTCTGTTGTCCCCTTCTCCTGCCTTCAATCTTTCCCATCATCAGGGTCTTTTCCAATGAGTCAGTTCTTCCCTTCAGGTGGCCAAAGTATTGGAGTTTCAGCTTCAGCATCAGTCCTTCCAAAGAATATTCAGGACTGATTTCCTTTAGGATGGACTGGTTTGATTTCCTTGCAGTCCAAGGGACTTTCAAGTCTTCTCCAACATCACAGTTCAAAAGCATCAATTCTTCAGTGCTCAGCTTTCTTTATAGTCCAACTCTCACATCCATACATGACTACAGGAAAAACCATAGCCTTGACTAGATGGACCTTTGTCGGCAAAGTAATGCATTTCCCTCTTGCATTGTTTCAAAAACAGTTATAAGCTGGTGTCAGATAGCCTATTTGAATTGTACTGTGGTCTCCTTTCTGCGATGCAAAAAGAACTTTAAGAGGTGGTCTGCAAAGAGAGTGCTATAATTTTGAGCACCAAACACGGCATGTGATGAGCATAGAGTTAAAAGATAATAAGTGCCGAAGTAGCTCTTGCTGAGTTTGAGGGCGATGGGTACAGGATGTAATCTGCATATCAGGTTAGTCTTGATTACCGACTAGTGATCAGGAACAGTTGAAGTAAGAAAGAACTCTGGAAAGGGCAAGAGAAAAAAGACAACTTTTCCCTCTTTTTCACTGCAACAGGATCCTTTCCATTGTGGAAAAATAAAGACTCAAGAGTGGCGAAGCTCAGACATGAAGAACAGACCTGTGGTTGCCAAGGGGAGGCGCCTGAGGGAGAGTTGGAGTGGGAGGTTGGGGTTAGCAGATGCAAGCTTTTCTATCTAGAACACATAAACAACAGGCCCTAATGTAGAGCACGGGGAACTATAGTCAATATCCTGTAATAAACCGTAATGGAAAAGAAGATGAAAAAAATGTATATATTATGTATAATTGAATCACTTTGCTGTACAGTGAAAATTAACACAACACTGTAAATCAACTAAACTTCAATAAAATAAATTTTTTTTAAAAAGTGGTGAAACTACCTGCCTAAGGTCCCCTCACTAGTCAGTGACACAGCCGGGCTCGAGCCCAATCTGTGCTCTGTGCACCTCCAGGTCCCTTGCAGGCTTCAGGCTCCCATTCTTTGCTTTTCTTAGATGCAAACAAGTGAAGTGTAAAACTTGCAGCAAATGTGCTAAGCATTCCAATGTGCTAAAGCATTCCAGTGAACATGCTGGGGGAAGACAGGAAGGGGAAGGGCTTCCCCCAGCAATTCTCCTGCACAGGTATCACCTGGAGCTTTTCGGACCCGGAGTTCTGAGTCAGAGGCCAGTGGCGGGGCTCCAGAGTCTGCAGTCCTAAGAAGTGCCCAGGTGAAGTCCTGGGGGCTGCTCTGTCTGCCACACCTTGAGAAGCAAGGCACTATCCCATTGATACGGACAGAAGGAAGGGGCAAAACAGGTGATTAAACAGTTAATCCCACTAGGGGACTGTAAGTAGAAAAATTTGGGAGACCCCTGTAAGTTAATGATTACTCGAGAAAGCAGGTTTGCTTAACCACAACACCACGCAGGCTTGCTTAGCAACAGAAGCACATAACAGAAGCATGAGACAGGCCCCCAAACAATCAGACGTAGTGGCGTGAGACCCACACCCTGGCCAGTGGGCTCAGGGAGTTAGTAGTCCTCAAAACATCTTCTCTGGCCCCTAAGACATGGTCTTTGCACAATGCCGCCCAAATAATAAAACAACAGAAGAAAATAAGGCCTACAACCTGCCCAGTGGTGTCATCAAGTTAATAACCCCCAAACAAGCTCTGTGTACAGAAAAAACCAATAATTTATGTAAGGGTGACTTTTCAAAATGAAAGACCCTCACTGTACTGAGACCTGAAACTATTTTTCCAAAGTGCTATGACAATCCTCGTGTAGAGTCGTCTCCTGTGCTGTTGAAAGAGGGTGTTTGCTATAACCAGTGCATCCCCTTGGCAAAACTCTGTTAGCCTTTGCCCTGCTTCATTGTGTACTCCAAGGCCAAACTTGCCTCTTACTCCAGAGATCTCTTGGCTCTACAACATGGATATCACCAGCCGGTCAATACCGAAATCAGATTGATTATATTCTTTGCAGCCAAAGATGGAGAAGCTCTACACAGTCAGCAAAAACAAGACCTGGAGCTGACGGGCTCAGATCATAAGCTCCTTATTTCAAAATTCAGACTTAAGTTGAAGAAATTAGGGAAAACCACTAGGCCATTCAGGTATGACCTAAATCAAATCCTTTATGATTATACAGTGGAGGTGACAAATAGATTCAAGGAATTAGATCTGGTAGACACACTGCCTAAAGTACTAGGGATGGAGGTTCATAACACTGCACAGGAGGCAGTGACCAAAACCATCCCCAAGAAAAAGAAATGCAAGAAGGCAAAGTGGTTGTCTGAGGAGGCTTTACAAACAGCTGAGAAAAGAAGAGAAGCGAACGGCAAGGGAGAAAGGGAAAGATATACCCAACTGAATGTGGAGTTGCAGAGAATAGCAAGGAGAGATTAAAAAAAAAAAAAAAGAAAGAAAGAAAGCCTTCTTAAGTAACCAATGCAAAGAAATAGAGGAAAACAATAGAATGGGAAAAACTAGAGAACTCTTCAAGAAAACTGGGAATATCAAAGGAGTATTTCATGCAACGATGGGCAAGATAAAGGACAAATGGTAAGGACCTAACAGAAGCAGAAGAGATTAAGAAGAGGTGGCAAGACTACAAAGAGGAACTATACAGAAACGTCTTAATGACCTGGATATCCACAACGGTGTGATCACTCACCTAGAGCCAGACGTCCTGGAGTGTGAAGTTGAGGGGGCCTTAGGAAGCAATACTACAAATGAAGCTAGTGAAGGTGATGGAATTCCAGCTGAGCTATTTCAAATCCTAAAAGATGATGCTGTTAAAGTGCTGCACACAATATGCTAGTAAATCCGGAAAATTCAGCAGTGGCCACAGGACTAGAAAAGGTCAGTTTTCATTCCAATCCCAAAGATTTTCATTCCAATGCCAAAGAATTCACATGCTAGCAAGGTAATGCTCAAAATTCTCCAAGCGAGTCTTCAGCAGTACATGAACCGAGAACTTCCAGATGTTCAAGGTGGGTTTAGAAAAGGCAAAGGAACCAGAGATCAAATTTCCAATATTCATTTGATCATAAAGAAAGCAAGAGAATTCCAGAAAAACGTCTACATCTGGTTCATTGACTACACAAAAGCCTCTGACTGTGTGGATCACAACAAACTGGAAAATTCTTAAAGAGATGGGAATACCAGACCACCTTACCTGTCTCCTGAGAAACCTGTATGTGGGTCAAAAAGCAACAGTTAGAATCGGACATGAACAATGGATTGGTTCAAAATTGGGAAAGGAGTATGTCAAGGTTGTATATTGTCACCCTGCTTATTTAACTTATATGCAGAGTACATCATACAAAATTCCAGGCTGGATGAGTCACAAGCTGGAACCAAGATTGCCAGGAAAAATAGCGACAACCTCAGATATGCAAATGATATCACTCTAATGGCAGAAAGTGAAGAGGAAATAAACAGCCTCTTGAGGAGGGTGAAAGAGAAGAGTGAAAAAGCTGACTTGAAACTCAACATTCAAAAAATTAAGAGCATGGCAACTGGTCCCATCATTTCATGGCAAATAGAAGGGGAAAAAGTGGAAATAGTGACAGGTTTTATTTTCTGAGACTCCAAAATTACTGCAGATGGTGCCTGTAGCCATGAAATTAAAAGACACTTGGTTCTTGGCAGGAAAGCTATGACAAATGTAGACAGCATATTAAAAAGAAGAGACATCACTTTGCTGACAAAGGTCTGCATAGTCAAACCTATAGTTTTTCTAGTAGTTGTGTGAGAGTTGGACCATAAAGAAGGCAGAGCACTGAAGAATTGATGCTTTCGAATTGGAGTGCTAGAGAAGACTGTTGAGAGTCCCTGGGACAGCAAGGAGATCAAACCAGTCAATCCTGAAGGAAATCAACCCTGAATATTCATTGGAAGGACTGATGCTGAAGCTGAAGTTCCAATACTTTGGTCACCTGATGCAAAGAATCGACTCACTGGAAAAGACCTTGATGTTGGGAAAGATTGAGGACAGGAGGAGAAGGGGGTGACAGAGGATGAGATGGTTGGATAGCTTCCCAAATCACTCACCATGTCCACCCGCTCAAGTGGACTCAATTTGAGCAAACTCTGGGAGACAGTGAAGGACAGAGAAGCCTGGTGTGATGCAGTCCATGGGGTTGCACAGAGTCAGACACAACTTAGAGACTGGAGAACAACAATGACAGTCCTGGATTGACCATACAGGGAGGGACAAATAAATTTCCCTTCCCTACCTGGGGGAGGAGCTGATGACAGAAAATTTTTGATGCCTACTCAAGAAAGACAAAGAAGGTCTTCTCCCCCTCCCTACTTTTTCTTTGATTATAAAACTGTAGCCCATTAAGTTCTCAGGGCAAGGCATTTCTCACCCACTTGCTTATAAACCCCACAAGCATCCTATTCTAATAAATCACTTCTTATTGACCACTTCACTCTTGCTGAAATCCTCTCTGCGCTGAGACATAAAGGACTACGGTGCCAGAGCTCTCTGGAGCGCCCTGAAACGACACCAGTCGGTTTCACCGTGATCTCAGACCCTTTGAAGACAACTTTCATGGCATGGTGACACAGCAAGGACCTAGGTGGTCAGCGTGGACCCATCACTGGGTCTCTTGACATGTAGCTGTCCGGCTTGCCAAGAACTTTGAGGCTACTGTCGAATTTAATCCTCAGTTGTCCTGTACACGTTACACAGATGGGGCTCAGGTCTCTGAACAGTTTTAACAAATCCAGTCTTCCTGACTTCAGGCAGGGGAAATGAGCTTGCACTCCAGCAAGAAGGATTCAACACAGTAAATAATGGCACAAACCCACCCACCCCCAGAACCCGTGTGAAAGGGACTAAGACCTAATGAAGCCCAGAGGGGCTGGTGGAGGGGTGAGACATGGTGAGTGATTTGAGAAGCCTGGGCGCTGGTGGCAGGCTGCCAAAAGTGGTATCTCAGCAGGGCCATGCTTGTTTTCCTGGAGTAGATTTCGCACATAAAGGTCCATGCCAGGAAACTGAAGAGGGACTCTTCAGTTAAAGGAACTGAGTCTGAGCTTTCTTGAGAGGCCCAGCCTTGGGGCCACCATATTTATGGTTGCTAATGCTTACCCACCCTGTGATATCCCACCCTACACGGTGGTTTTTCTCAGATGCTAGTGATGTGCATGGTAATCCCATTTTTATGACTTACCGGTGAAGACATGTTGGGAGGTTTCAAGGACAAGACATGCAGGCATTGGGATGAGAAAGAGGGCATCAGGGACATGCGGGATTGAGTTCTGAGGTCCCTCATCATGACAGGTGTGCTGGGCTGTCACCTTGGAGCCCTTAGATCTCTTAGGACAGAAGATGCCCACAGCTCAAGTTTTCTGGGCCACCGTATAATCTTGGTTTTCAGCCATCTCTGCACCTCTCTGTGGAAACTGGAGGGAGGAGGGTTATTGCTTGCTAGTCAAGGCTTGTGCTGGACAGGCGATCTGGTCAGCTCTGTGATGCCAGGTTTGAAAAGACTCAAGTCACACAGGAAATCCTGGATAAATATAGTCCTCTCAGAGCAATAAACACGTGCTGCTTCTTCAAACCCTCCTGAGTTACCAGAAATGTGCGCCCATGCCCTAATAAGAACCCCAATGGTTTCTAAATTTCCCCTGGCCTAGCTAGAACTGATTCTCTGAAGGCAGGAAGAAGTTAAAAATGTGG